GCCTTTCATGTGACTGTGGTTCCAGTCCTGTAACATGATTCAGATTCTTCAGTCACACGAGAGAAGAGGTTTTCTCTGGGTATTCCCGTATACTCTCTGGGTAGTTTAGTTGGGATATAAAGTTAGTTTGGTTTTTGTTTTCTCCTGTAGTTATTAGCAGTAAGGGATGGCTCTTACTAGACCTCTAGGGAGAACAGTTTAGAACGGATAGAGCTATCCAGTATAAAGTTAGTTTGGTTTAGGTTTCCTCCTGTAGTAACACTGGATCAATAAGAGATGATCCTTACTGCACCTCTAGGAAGAACAGTTTAGAACTGATAGAGCTATCCAGTATAAAGAAAGTTAGTTTAGTTTAGGTTTCCTCCTGTAGTAACACTGGATCAATAAGAGATGATCCTTACTGGACCTCTATAGGAAGAACAGTTTAGAACTGATAGAACTAGGCTTCCTCCTGTAGTAACAGCAGTAAGGGATGACTCTTACTGGACCTCTAGAGAGAACAGTTTCGGCAGAAATAGTTTTTGCAGCATATTAAACACAGAAAATACAATCATACCTGGTGATTTTACACGACAATATACTCTTACAGCGATATCTTTGCCAACTCTTCGTTCTCCCCTTGGTGTTATGACATTCTGAGGGATGGGAAAATGTATTATTCTGTCATTTACCCTAAGAGTTACATTTTCACCGTAATTTTGGGTTATAACATTTGGGCCTGAATAATTCCCCTATTCTTAAATCAAGAATGATGGTTAACTTTATCTCCAGTCTTTCTAATCAGATATATATTAAATGTATGCTATACAGATAAAATAAAGCTATGATAGTATAGAGGGAGAACACTATTTTACTGATTGTGACTCCTGTATAAATAGAGCTTCTATTCTATTCTATTCTATCATAGAAAACAGCATTCCCCAAGGGAAATTGCTAGATAGTATACTTCAAAATAAGATTTCCGTTTTTATATCATATTTTTAATAAGTTAGGGTTAGGGTTTTGGGTTAGGGTTAAGGTTAGTATTAGGGTTTAGTTTTGCGTTAGGATGGTTTTTTCTACGTTAGAAAAACGGAAATCTTATTTTGAAGTATACTATCTAGCAATTTCCATTCTCCAAGACAGCCTCTAACGTATGGTAATATATACTCATATGATTTGTACATTCTGCTTGTGAAATAGATCAATGCTGACAGTTTCGAATTTTTAATCAACAATTAAATTTCAGTTCATATTCACAGATAAAAAGGTAAAGTTCACAGTAAACAGATCGGAACTTATATATACAATTATTACAACTACAAATTTAGTAATATTTCAATTATATGTTTCACATTAGTTCAATGCATTAATATAAAAGTTCTCATAAATATACACTACCACAAGCCTAGGTGATAGTTTACCCTCCAAGAGTGAGGCAGGCAGGCAGGTTCAGTTCATGCATACACGCAGGCAGTGGCATTATATCGAGCTAGATTCATAGCTGGCAGTTCTTGCCACGCACTGTCACCAATCACATAATACTCCACTGATTTAAGATATGTGCTGGAACGTCCTCCCATAACCACAATCACATCACCCATGATCACAGCAGCACAGCCATCCCTTTTTTCTAACATAGAAGGCAATCTCTTGTACTCGTGAGTGGTAGCATTGAACATTAAAGCTTCGTTCAGCGACTTACTGCCATCATAACCACCAAGAACAATTATGTTATCCTTGTACGCGACAACCGCCATTTCTGATACTTTATATGGCAAAGAAGGCAAAGTTTTCATCTCGTTCTTAACCACATCGTATTTCTCCATCTTACTTT